TTGGTACGGGACTGGTCACACAATTTTTGTTACATTAGAATTTTTTCAATAATTACTCACGTGTCTAAACGCAGGATATTGGTAACCAATAGTACACAATCTCGACTTTTCTCAGAAATTATAATTAATTAATTTCTCATAAATTTCTGTATGTCTTTTTGATAAACTTGTTTATGAGGAAGGGTCGAAAACATTTCTTTTTGAAAGGATGAAATTAAATTTTCTAATGGACAAGTTAGTATGAGATCATAGTATTTGAACTGTTAGTTGACATTTATATTAACGAGTATTATGCTAAAAGGCACGTGATAAAGTTTGACGGTACTGAGATATCTACCGTCGAGATTTGTTAGACAAACTTTCCCACGCAGGATGACGCATGGGACGAACAGCAACGAACTCTTTCATGTCGGAAAAGAGATAACCACTATAACGTGCAAATGTATGCACTGGAACAATCCAGATATCAGAATCGGGCCGCTATTCATAAAGAGATGTCTGAAATCTCCGGAGACATAAAAATGGGAAAATAAAAAGAGCAATTGGTGTAAACATTTCTGTTCACGGCCATAAATATTGAATATTTGCAAACGGAACTTGACACGAATTTAATAGTCTTTTAATTTGAAGGATTAGAAAAATAGATATAGATAAGAAGAAAAATATATGCTTGAAGATATAACATACAAATTTTCATCGAAAAATATAACTAATCTTGGTTCGAAAAAAACATGCCATTAGCAATGTTATTTAAAATTGGATCATCTGAAATTAAAAATTCGAATGGATTTCTTTAAAATAATGTTAAAATTACTATTTAATCGTAGCCTTTGTAAATTGACATGATATTGACTACTAGAAAAAATTTAAAAATCGCTTTTTCGCGGCAATAATGCGCTTATATCCTTCATAAAAACAAAAGTAACAATTTAAAAAATAAATAGAACCATAAAGTATGAGATTATGATGTCTTGAAAGTACCTGTAAAATTTAGAATAGACCGGTTCAATAACATCAGTCAAATATTTTTAATTCTTTCCTTTTGATATTTTCAATTCATGCTTTAACAGTAGATTTATTTGTTATCGATGCTTTTTATTACAGATCCGAGTGAAATGTAAAAGAAATTTTTAATTTTTAATTTTAGTGGGTCATGTGTGGATAGAAATAACTTTATTTATTGAGGAAACGGCGAAAATAAACCTGTTCGTTATAAATCACGATACTATTTATAAAGAGATTTTGGAACCTCCAAAACACAAGAACGAAAGAATAGAGTGACTATGTCCTTCATTTTTAATTCATCTTCATTATAATTTCTCCTATTAATGTGATCCGGCTGTGATGTCAAATAAATAAATTGAAATCTGTTTTCAATACATTTCGTCATTTGTCATAAAAATTATAAATCGAAAAATTAGCAACTACCTCAAGTGTTAACTACAATGTAAATTACACAATAAACATACTATATCGAATGCTTGATAAGTTATAATAAAACACATATGTTAGTTATAAATTAAACAATAAATTTGAAATTCATAAACATTAATATAACGAATTTTGTATTGTATTTTAATGGAAAATTTATTCTCGTAATACGTGTTTTTATTGATTCGTTCGTTCATTCAATTCATGTAGAACATAAACTTTTTACTGAAAGTGGAACGGTGACTTCACAGATAATTTGAAATTATAAACATTGATATAACAAATGTTATACTGTACTTTAATAGAAAATTTATTCTCGTAATACGTGCATTTATTCATTCATTCGTTCATTCAATTTATGTAGAACATTTTTGTACTGAAAGTGGAACGATGACTTCATAAATAATTGTAAACATTTATAGTTGTCATTTAGTTATCATTTCGTTTCATATTTATACACTACTTTCCTATACATCAATCCCATTTGCATTATTATCCAGTTTTTGTAAATTTGTGACACCGACGAATGACTGAGTCTTACATTTCAAGTCACAGTCATTTGCTTTTTCTGCTCGTTTCGCATACAAAGTGATTTACAAGTGCAGTTCAGAGTTTTTGTTCAATCTATCTTGTTCAACGTAGAAGTTCACTTTGTCACTGATACATACTGAACTTTCATTTAAAACGAACATCGTGAAATGCAAATACGACTGCACCCACTGCGATTTCTATGTATTATTTTTAGTCGAATCACTTTAAGATTATCTTTGTTGAAAGTGTTCACGTTGGTCGACACATTCTCTGAGGAATTAAAATTGCTGTGATCTTTACAGAACTAGTTTAATAAATCGAATATGTAATGAAACACAAGTAATTGAACGTAATTTTATTACTTGAGAAGATTTTACGAAGTTATGTATTTCAGTTTTCGAGATAACTATTATGATTAGAAATAGATTCGGTAATAGTATTTTTAACAAGACTTTTAAATTTAATTTTAATGAAATGTATGTATTTTTTAATGTAACTGTACATGCGTATGCTAATTGTAACAAAGAAATTATTTGGCTGATCCGATTGCTGGGTACGATTTCAAATGAAATAGACTTTACTATTTCAAGTAATATTTTACCCAGATTTGCTCATCAATACATTTGATAATTATAGTAGTTAGAATGCCATTTGAGAGAATATTATTCGTCGTGAAAATTAAACTACTCTTTATGCGTATTTATAAATGAAACCACCTTTAAAGTTTCAGTTTCAATGGCGCTTTTTATTAACCCGTTATGCGTGAATAAGCTCTCTTATCCCGGTTATCTCACATTTCGGTACACCTCTGCAATTCCACTCTAAAGTTTGATAATTGTATGTACACGTACAGAAACCGTTAACATATCGTTTGTTTACCTACTCTGCCATAATTTCACGTGACATTTCGCGATATTTCAACGTACTTACGTTCCCTGTTACTTCGTTGTAGTAGGTTGTTGCAAATGTTCATCATTTAATATCAAATCAGTAGTTCGCGTTTTGAAACATTTTTAACTGTTTCTATTTGTAAAAATGGTGAGAAAGGAAATTCATGTATCGCAAATATGCTAATTTTCACTGATTTTAGAAACATGCAGCTTCTTTTTTATGAGTGAATATATAATATAATAATGCAGCTTCATAATAATGTTAAGGTAATTTCTTTGTTTGGAATTAAATTAATTTGCGAAAAAATTAATCAGCTTAATAATTGAGGCGTTCATTGTACAAATTTATTAACTCGAATCGATTAAAGTTTTTCAAAAAGTGGAATTAATCGATTTGTCAGTGAACGGCTCAATTTAGAAGATTGATCATTTAACCTAATAAAACGATAAGTAAATATTTGTACTTAAATTACAGTTACAAACGATTAAATCCAAAGTCAGAGAATTAATTTCTACACCTAATCAAAATCTTAACGCGAAAGTTGATTTCTTTACACGTTTGTTCTATGGTTAATAGTCCAAATAAGGTTTCAAATGTTCTGACTTTCGAAGTGTTCCACGTATTCACCAAAGATCTACCATGGAGCAACGATTTAGTTCTGCAATTCTAATTCCACCGTGTAGTCTGACACTTGCAGAGGAACGCACGTAGAAATATTAACACGGAATTGAGTTTCCTCGATGCGTATCCTGCATTTTGCAAGGAACACAAGTGGAGAAGGCCGTTTCTCTGCAACGCCGCTTGTTCTACAGCGAACAATGCCACCCTAAATCATTGGTGAACGGCCCGATTCCGCAGGAACTCCGTGCAAGGATCAAAGGAGATTCGCGAACGCTACCAACGAGGAACATCATTCGATTGACAATTTTAAAACCAAAATCCAAACATAACAAATTTATTCCAGTACATTGCTTGTTAAACGTTATAAATCAGTCGCCTATGTACATATTTTTACATTTTCCAACAATGAGTTGTTCGATATTCTTCAAAAACAAATTTATGCAAGCAGACATATATTTATATTTTTTTTACTTTATATGAATTATACGTTTTTCCATAACTTTCTACATTTAAATCTATGTAGTTCTACTACATAGTTTAGAAGGTCATCAATATAAAAAAAAGTGATTATTTTTAAAATAGTTAGTTCTACCTATTATTAATCCTAATAGGTAACCTAAATTAACCCTTTGTCTGCGAAGGGCGTACATATACGTCCTCGAGACGTATACGTATTCGAGACATAAATGTTTCGAAATTATATCTTCTTACTTGTAAACAAAATATATTATAATATTTACGCATTTTCTTCCATTACTTCTATCTAAAATTGTTTTATTGTAGATATCGAACAAATCTGCAAAAGGAAGTTAAGCTGTACGGTTTAATTTGTCTCTATATTTACCTGAGTGATTCGAAAACTATCACAGATTTAAAGACAGGTAATTATTATAAAAAAAATGAAAAATATTAACAAGACTTCAAATAGTTTGTTTATTTTGCTAGTAATAATTTCCACTGAATCAAGAAAATTCTTTTCTTTTTTTCTTCATTTAGTTGTTAGTCAAAGAGATACCAGCATCCGATAGTGTGCAATTTTTACTCCCTATACAAAAATTCAATCTCTATTTACCATTATCATTACTTGATCAATCCTCACAAACGAAATAGCGCCCACATTTATAAAAACATGTTCAATAAAAACTGAAATACATTATTTTCATTCTGTGACAACTCTGCGCAGAGTTTCCATAAATAAAATTGTCTGCACACGTAGTACAAGTACGCTTGTTCGAAAGTATGTTGTAAGGTAAGGGATTAAAGCTTTCATTTCCTCCCTCTTATCGCGCACCACCGTGTGCCAAGTTTAATCCGTAAAATCAGAGGCTGTTAATCGCGTGACGATCCTTGTAAGATTTGTCCAGTTCCGAGCGAGCGTGTAACACGGTGGGTGGAATGTTAGGTTCCACTGGGTCTGGCGGGGGAAATCAGGCTTGCTGGCAGGGGAATAATAACGAGCCGGACGACACCGCGCGAAGTCAGAGAGCGGACGAGGCTTTATAAATTGCGAGGATGTTCGCCAGTGCCGAACCAGTGACACCTCGACCGCGATCGATCGTGGCTGCGACCGGTTACCGCGAATTCGATCACGTGGGATCGCCAGGATCCCGAAAGATCGCCACGTGTTTCCCGCGAAGGTTGCCGGTAGTGCGAACGGAGTTCGTGTTAAACGCTCGGGGAGAGCATCTTCCAGTTGCGTTTAACGCGGAAGGGCATCGAAAGGTGGAGATAAAGTGCTCGTCGAAGGAACCAGAGTGCACGTCGAGTTGAAGTTCCGCGGTTGCGAGTTCGCGACAGGACGACGCGACGCGGTGGATCGACACACATATCCAGTGGAGTTACTTCCAGTCGAACGTGAGTGATCAGTTCTTTTAATGGTGTGTACCTTGCGCGGAGACTAACATCCGATTCGGTGCAACGAGGATGTACGTTGCCGATTAAATCTCTTAGGTTCTTTAGTGTTTGGTAGTAGGGACTCGAGAGCCAGTCGGATTTACTTAAAGCCATCTTTGGGAATTAGTTCCATGGGTGTGTACACGAGTCCAGACTTTACCTTTCACACAATCCTTCTTTCTGCCTTAAAGAGTAAAAGAAATTTTTCTTGTTTGATACAAATAGTCGAAACAAGACATTACAACCTTCTAAAATATACGTTTAATGGTAAATAGTGTTTATAATTATTGTTAGATGTAAGAATTAGTTATTCTAACATTCCGTAGTTGTTTTAATTATATTATGACTCACGTATGTATATAAATATGAAACTTGGAACTCACAGTGGTCGCTAAAGGCTTACAAGTTGATGCGACAATAAATAAATGAATAAATAAAAAATTGCTATTGATCTAGCAGTCATCACAAAAGATGGAAAGAAAATTTTGCATAAACCTATGTTTACAGTTATTGTTATAGTATAATAATATTATATATGTATAAGTAGGATAAGTTTCTTCTTTTGAATTCTAGGTCGTTAGCGATTGGTTTCGGTATTTGTGACAAATAAGAAAACTTTGGAACCAGATTTACAAGATGCGGTTAACTTGATTTTAGATATTTTAGGTATAATAACACATGTTTATTTATCTTTAAATTTACTTACTCATTCAATTTTTATAATTATATAAATCGTGTTGAAATAAACTTTGAAATCAGTGACTTTAAATTAGAGATGTAAATAAAAATATTTAGTACAATCTCTTTCTGTTAATACACTGATCATCTAGACTAATACATAATTTTTATCTCTGTTATATATAATATTTATATTTACCTTTGGTCATCTTTACTCAATATTGTTTATTAGTTTCCGATATTGTATTACTTTTACGTTTATACACTTTTCTATTTAAGTGCAGAATAATTTTCCAATATCTGAAGTAGGTTTTATGTAGAAAGTTCATATATTAAAAGAATTCCATAAAGCAATAATTGCTAAAATTATTACGGATCTCATAAATTGATAATAGAATAGAATAGAAGTTTTCAAGTCTTTCATTACTTGCTTCTTCAAAGAATAAGCCGACTTCGATATATTTAAATCCTTTGCATTAATCCTGCTCGAAACTTTTGCTTGCCTTAGTACAAAAACTGAGCATTTTCGTAATCAAGCCGTCCAAGACTTTCAACACAATGTAAATCAAAATAATATATACTTATATTGTAGAATAGTTGATCACTTTTGACTAATCAGAAACGTATTTTAATAATTAATTACAACAGTTCTAAAAACTTGATTATTTGTTGAATTTACGTTACGATATTATTAATTAACTTGATCGCGTTTAATCTTTCGTGTAATATTGAGAGGACACTTTCTGGCGGAATGTTAAGGATAATAGAAAATTATCCGCTGTATCCGTGATTTTTTTCAACGAGATCTTCAATGAGATCTTCAACTTTCTTCACCATTTCTTGGTGGATGGCTTCGTTTGGTCTACCGTTGCGAGGATCATTTTCTAACGACTCCCTGCCTCGCCTGAAGAGTTCCATCCATTCAGAAATCGTTGAAAATGATGAACCAGTATCTTCACCACCTTTGCTCGAGTGCTGGTGAATCTCGGTGGGTTTAATTCCCTCCATTGAGATGAATTTTATTAGAGCGATATACCTAATTTTATCCATTTTTATCTGTTCCCTAGAAATGAATTGAAACGATCTATCACAGATTTCTTTCCGTTTATTATTATGTTAAATTGATAAAAGTAAACTGATGAATATATATCAAATTATATATTAAACAGTATGTTTGTAGTATGTTTAAATGATGTATTAGTAGGTTAAGTATTATTAATATTAGGATTAGCATGTGTAGAGGATGTCCATTTCTTGTCTGAAAAACCGAAATAAATATCTATCTATATATCTATATCTATATCTATATATATATATAATAATTCTTCATAAATAAATTGATAGAATTGATATATGTTGTTGTTCGTTAAAAATCAAACTTTTTTTTGTATTTAACACTTTCTTCTACTTCTGTTACTATTTACAGAAATGTAATTAAATAGGTATTCGAATATCAGCGGCTATCAAAAAAATACGTGTTTAATATTTTGACATATGTGGTATAGAAATACCACATTATTACTGTTGAAATATTTTATTATCAATTGGAGCTATTATTTCATTAACCTCTTCACGCCCCTGGCCATATATATGGACGTTTAATTTTTTATAATTGTAATTACTGTCAATATTAAAAAGAACAAAAAATTGATAATAACAAAAAAAATGGTCCTGAAAAGGTTAAATAGATTAATTTCATTTATTTTTATCATTATAGAAAGATTTGTTTCAAAACGAACAATTATATTTAAATACCCTCAATCATCTCTTGAATGATTACAACAACATCCACCTATGGACCATTCATATTATGAATTACCTATCATTCCTAATAAATATTTATACTAGTATAACATCTATTCTATCTATATGGAATATTTTATTTGAAAAATCTCGTATGTGAGAATGTGTTAATTTGGTGTGCCCTATCCCAAGTCTGTTAAGAATATCGATCGTCTTCTGTCCAAATGTTGCAAGGCTGATGATTTATCGAAGAATTCTTTATACACTTCTAGTGTGTGTGTGTGTTGTTTTTTTTGATTGCTCTAAAGCAGTCGAAGAATACGTATTCGCACCGATACAAACGTTTCGGTTCCGGGTTCGAATCGATTCGACGCGTCTCGCTTTCCATCGATGTGTCCCAATCCACCGGCAGCAAGTTCGGCGCGTCCCGGTACTCTCGACGAGTTGATCCGTTCCCAAAAGATTTTGAGCGCAACGGGACAGGGTTACGGGTGGAAAGCTCAGCCTCGACACGAACGTGGCTGCCGTCGCATCGATCGCGGCAAATTGGATTGCCGCTAAAACGCTGGGGCTATCTTACGGCTTACGGGATAGTGTTCAGTGCCGCTGGGAACGGTACAAAGTTCGGTAACGAGAGTGAATTCTGACGTTCCGCTCGTCCGCCATGGTGTACACCTTGTGAACGCCGTGCAACACGAATATTCGCCCGCAGGATATATGGCGCACACGGCTGCCCGTTTATCGTGATTAACGAAAGTCGTAGCCTAACGAGACCACTGGCTAGCGGCGGTCACGTGTGCGCGAATCGAGCCTGGTCGACGAGAGAACAACGCAACAGACGAATAGTGGGTACGTAGAGGAAACGGGGGACAGTTTCGACAGGTTCAATCGTACGAATTCTTCGCGTACTCGGAACGTGCCTCATTCTTACGGATTAGACACCGTTCAAAAGCTTGCAACTTGTGCTACTATGCGAGTACTATTTCGAGATAAAGAAAGCTCAATCACAATCATGCATATTGTTTAGCTTTATTAGCGAGGCTGCATCGAACAGCTGAACAAAATGGTAACCATTAGCATAATTGTTGTAAAATTGGTTTAAGTTGCGAAATAGAAGAAGAAAACTCAACAAGTTTACAAGGTTAGGAAGTTATAAAGTTCGCAAACTTAGGAAGACTCGTCACCTTCGTAATCGCTATCTTTGGAAGACTGAATAATAGAATAATAGAGTATTAATAGAAAGTGAAGTGAATAATAGAAAAAAGACTCTTGTTTTTCATATAAACTGCCATTATCATCTTCATAACGAGACCACATAGGAAGTTGGATAGATGTGTATAGAATCCATGAGTTTACTCACTCTTTTTAGTCAAAACAATCGAATGATTTATGACTTTTCGTGCAAACAATGCTTATGGTAAAACAATGGTGTTATATAGTATTATTTTATTTTAATTCTTTCCATTCGAAGAGTGCCTCTCTCTTAGTGTACGGAAGATCTAGCTGGTGCAATTTAGACTATTTCAATTGCATGTGAGTTCACGTTTCATTGATCTTAACACGCAACCGTTTAGAGATAAACGGAGAAAAAGTCTAAGTACAAAGTTTTAAACATTTTTAACAATATTTCAGATAAAGTGACACGAAATTCTTTCGTAATGCCGCACTTAAACCACAGCAATAAGTAAATAGAAATATGTAAAGACTTTTTTAAAAGGAGCTTTAGGATCATGTTCTTTAATTAAACACAAATAGTATGGGATATACCAAATTTTTTTCTTATTTTAGATAAAAGTACAGATAACTACAACTGAATGTCAAAAATAATGAGGTTTAATTGTTTATTGAAAGCTCCCTTTGGAAAAGTTTATTATACGGTAACACACAAAAATTAAACGATGTGACATGAAAAAAGGATGATACCTCGAAAGTTACAATTTCAAAATTATACGTGTTCCAAGATCATTTATTTGAATTAACGTTTTCGGTTTCTATGGTTCTCTTCGTATTGTTTATTTTCAGAATTTCATGTATTCCGCGACCACTCGAATGTCGAGTGTTTCGCATTTAATTGTAGAATAAAATGCCAACATTTTTAGCAGTGCAAACAAATAAACGTGTTGATTTTTAAAACCACATTACGGCTAAAATTTCGTAGCCATTTTCAATCATGAATATTACTTTAAAGGAAACAAAACTTTAATACGAGTTGTACAATTTATGACAGAAACAATTACGTTATTACATTACATTCTTGGTCATACATGTACATACATACTGAGTTAAGATTAAAATACTATTTTTTATACTGTATCTAAAGGTAAAGTGCATATAAGCATTTTCAATTTAAAAATAAAATAGCCATAAAAGAGTGTACGCGTTCCGTAAATATATTGCGAAGTGGAAAGTGTTTCGTGACTAAAATAGTTAGGGAAACGCTGACGCAAATCGTTGCGTTGCATGAATTGTCGCCACTAACAAGAACGTGTTTCACTTTTCGAGGAAAGATTCGATCCTTAGAGTCGACGATGCAAAAAAGG